TTCTGCTGTGGCTTAGAAACAGGATGTCTTCACTGTCTATTTACATGTTTGGCAGTTGGTAAGAAACTTCATATGGGGTTAAAAATTCTATAAAGTTGCTATTTTGTGAAATTTAAGTAAAGAGCCAAGGCAAAAATATAGCACTGCATCAAACTAAAATGCATGATATTGGATGAATTCCCAAAGTTAGGGTGGGGAAAGTAGAGAAAGAATTCCTTTCCTTATTGAAAAAGTCGTTTGAGTACAAGAGTGGAAATTACTTATTTCAGGCTTGATGTTTTATACTGGTTGTATAAAAGGCTTCAGAAAATGGAATGTGATCTTAAATATTCTCTTTCAAAAGGACACAGTGTTCTTTTTTTTTTAACATCTTTATTGGAGTATAATTGCTTTATAATGGTGTGTTAGTTTCTGCTTTATAACAAAGTGAATCAGTTATACATATACATATGTTCCCATATGGACACAGTGTTCTTTACATGTTTTAATGTGTTTTAGAATTAGTCCCTTTCCTTTCTTGCACATGTCTTACAAGCTGTTCTAAACTTATACTCAAAATATTTGAGCTTCATATTTATGCTAATTCAGAAGAGAGGGAACTTGTATATTTTTCCTAAAATAAGTTTGGAAATTTTAGAATTGTTTCCTTTTGGGCTATGCGTCCACCTTCGGAATTGAGAAACTTTGCTATGGCAAGGATGGGCAAAAATGGAAAGGAAGAGAAAGGAATGGAAGAGGGAGGGGTGAAAAAGAGGGGGCAAATCTATGTTGTCCCATTTTTATTTTGCGATGTAAAAGCATTACCTCTGACCTGGCTTACTGCGGTGTTCTCCTGCCTGCTACCAAAGATCTGTTCTCCACATAGCAGTCTGAATTATCATTTGAAAATATGTATCAGGTATTTAAAATTCTTTAATGGTTTCCTCTTGCCCTTAGAATAATGTTCAAACTCTTTACTGTAGCGTGCAAGTAATCTGTTATCCAACTTCTCAAATCTCTCTTCTTAGTTTCTACTCTGCTTTTAAAACATGTCAAGCTTTTTTCCATTTCAGGGCCTTTTTTCTTGACTTTCTTTTGCCTGGAACACTCTTCTTCCTCTTCTGTTCATGACTGGCTTTTCAACATTTAAGTCTCAGCTCAAAAATCACATTGCAGAGACCTTACTTGACTTATCTAAAGAGTCCTGCTTTCACCCAGCCCAGCCAGCTCTTACTGTATTGTTTGTTCATTTATTTCTTCATAGCACTTAGGGCAATCTAAACTTATTTTCATTAATGATTTATTTACTTGAGGTTTGTCCCCTTGGATGAGACTGTAAACATCTGGAAAGCAGGGTTTTTGTCTGTTTTGGCCATGTAGCTATTCTCATCGACTTTCAGACTTTCACAGTGCCTGGCATGGATTTAATGCAAAATAAATATTTGTTGAATAAATGAATGAGTGAAATAAAGAATTTGGTATGGCTGGAGTACTGAGCCTGTGTTTTCTTGAATGGGGTTGGTAAATTATAAAACTTCTAGAAGTTTTTCTAGAACTTTCCTGGGAAAAGTTTGCATAGTGGTAAATAGGAGGAAGTTATGCTAGAAAGATAGGGCAGGGGCCAAATCCTACAGTTTCCTGAATGTCGTGGTACATAGTTTCTGGAATCACCTCTGTGGTCAATGGATAGCTATTGACAGTTTTTAAGTAGTCAATGTACATTTTTGAAACGCTCCTTTATTATTCATTATGGAAAACCATTTGTGTGTCAGTAGAGTCTGGTTCACTCACCAGTTGACTGAGTAACTTCCAAACATCAGCAGGGTGTTGATTGAATCAGCCTTTTTTCATGCAGCATGGCTGGCAGGAGAAAATTTTTGCCTTAGTTCTTCACAGCCTGAGATGAAATGAACCAGTGCTTGTTGAAGGCATTTCTTTCCAGTTATTTCTCATATCTCGGTAGAGCAGCAAGTTCCCCCAAAGCATGATACCATCTTGTTGAATCATTCCCCTTTCCTCAGTTGTTCTTTATTTTACAATTTACTTTTCTAATGCATAGAGTTACCCTCACATTAGAGTTACCTTCTCCTGTGGTATGTTTTAATTTGGTCTGGTCTTAAAGGAAATCCAGTTTGAAACCTTTAAAGGCAGTTAGCTTCTTGTTTGTTTCAATGGAGTAGCGGGTAGATCCTTCCTTAGCTGAAACCTAGTACTTATATGGCCTTATAATAATCTCCATCTAATAGTACAGGCTTATATGTAGCACACACATGCTCACCTGGACTTTTCCTACCACTTCGAATGTGTGTATCTAATTTCAAAAATGACCTACAAAGATAGCAGGCTTCCAGTTAAAATGATGGGCTGTTTTATATATAATCTTTGGCAGCCAATTCTAGTTTCCTGAACTGGTTCACAATAATTTAAAAGCCAGTTCATGAATAAGTTTTATGGATTAAGCTTAAGTCATGGAATCTTCTTTATATTTATATTGGGGAACATGGTATTATGTTTAATACTGGGTTATAAATGGGGAAAGCACCAAATAAGCAAAAAACCAATGTGGTCAAATTTAAGAGAAGGAACCAATTTATCAGTGTTGGCTAACAGTTTTCAAGAGCTACTGAATCACATTCATCAGTGATACTCAGTATTGGAAGCTCTCAGTGTGAATGATGACTTCAGAGATGTTGTTATTAAACTTACATCCTTCTAGTCCATTATAGCTTATGAAGCACACTCACATGTAATATACCTTTTGATTTGTGTGTAAATGTTTGCTTCTTAGAATTTATTTTTCTCTTTTCCTAGACATATCATAGACATCATCTATATGTAAAGTAGATGGAAAACAAAAAAATAAATAAGTCATGTGGTCCCTATCCTCGGAAAGTTCTACTAGGAGTAACAAATGTACTTAGGTAGGTGCCACATATGGCAGAGTATGATAAGTGCCATTAGAAGAACAGGGATACGATGATATTGCAGTGCTTGACTGTAGCTTTAGGGTTGAGAAAAAATTTCTTAGAGAAGGCAGGATTTAAGCTTGGCCTTATAGGATATGTTAGATTTCAACAAGAAAATCCAAGTGTCAGAGGATCTCTAGGTCAGTGGAACAGTCTGAGCAAAACATGAAGGTAGGAAAGTGCAAAATTTATAAAAATTGATCTATTTTCGTTCAATGTTAATGGCTGGTGTTATAAAACTAGAGTGTGTCAGAACTAACCTGTTGTGTTCAGAACTTATAGTTTGGCCCTTAATTGGAGGCAGTTTCCACCAACCACAAGTACCTCACTATATCCTCATAAATTATGTGTCTATGGGAGTTGTAGACTATACATACCCAGCATTAATGAGAGTATATTCACATCCTTGAAATGAATAGATCTTATATAAGTTATATCCAGTATTTTTTTAGGGTTTTAGTGATTTCTGAAGCACATTTATATATAATACACAATTAAAGCATTCCAAAATCCTATGTAATAGGTGGTGGTATGGCGGTTTCTTAATGGAGAACCAAGACAGAAGTGTTTAAATGACTTTTTCCAGGTTCACTTGGTCAGTAAGTGTAGGCACATACCCGATTTAGAACCCATTCATTTTCCTCTATAGCTATATGCTTGTCACTATGTAGACATCCATACAACTCATATTTGTCTGTGTTGGTGTATGAGAAATTGAGGAAATTTAAGAAAGAAACCAGGAATTCAAAATTAATGATTCTGACAGCGAAAATAATTCTGAAACCACAGAATCAAGAACAAAGGTAAAAGTGGCAAGGAAAGCTGATTTCAGGCAAGATTTAATGGAAGGAAGGCCAGTAGCTAAGAATATGCAAATTAAAAAGAAAAGGAGAAGGCTTTACTATTATTAGACAAAGTTAAGGATATCAGATCTTAAAATAGGGCAGTTTATGTTTTCTGTAGTAAGGGATACGATTCTTTATATATCATGAGAAGGCAGTGACTGGAAACTCAGGAACCTACTACTACTTTCTATTTCTTACTGATACTTGAGTGGCCAGACTATCAAAAGCCTACTCAGTTGAATCTTATATGCCTTCCATGATTTTGTATTTATTTGTTCAGTAACAGTGAGTTTCATTTCTTTATACTTCAAAATAGACCAAGCATAATTTGGATTTCACCATGAAAATGACTAGTACTAGTGTGAATATTCACTTTTCTGAAATGAGGCAAAAGGTTCTGTCTATAGACATTCTCCATGAATAAAGTATAGGGCAAAATGTATTAAATCAAGTAAATTTAATTACATTTTGTTACCAAAAAATGCATCATTGCACGTTACATGGAGAGCAGCTTATCAAGTGGTTTAAGAGGAGATTTATAGTGTCTTTGTAGTTTATTAAAAATCCTTCCTTTTATATTAATGAGAATCCAACTTGTAAGTTTGGAATCAATTTCTCAATCAAAGGAATGTGGTATAACATTTTGTGTGCTGTATTTAGCATCTCTTCTGGATTGCAAAAATTTATTCCTTTTCACCTTGTGTTCTTCACATTCTAAAGCCTGAAAACAGATTTGGAGGAGTGGGAGGTATCCCTGATCTCATCCTTCAGAAAGTCAGAGTTTATTCTTCCATTGTCAGGATTAAAGGCAAAAGGAACAAAAAGAAAAGAAGAGAAAATAAAAGACAAAAATATTGAAAATGTGAATTAGAGGTGGCACAGCATTGGCAGATTTTAATTTTGATCAATCATAAGACAAACAAGCATGTAGATTCAATTTCCCAGAAAACACAGATGGCTTAGAAAAGAGGGAGAAGAAAACAAACTTGGAACAAAGCACATTTACACATTTTCACCAATGCCAAAATACCCACATATCATTTTAGGAGCACTGTTTATTAACCTCTTGCCCTTTAGTGTGGAGGCTGGGTAGAGTGAATGTGAACTAGAACTCAGCCCTGACACTTTCTGTCTGTGAGACCTTGGACTGGTACTGAGCCCAGTTTAGAAATATTTGCCTTCATTTGATCCTCTTTTTTTCTCTTCATAGCTTAACCAGCTGGAAAAGGCAGTGGAAGCAGCACACACATTTTTCATGGCCAACCCTGAGCACATGGAAATGCAGCAGAACATCAAGAATTACAGAACAATGGCGGGCGTTGAAGACCTCCAGCTGGTAGATCGGGATGCCAAACCACACCTGGTGAGCTTTGGGGACCCTGTCCCAACCATGAGGAACTTAGTGCTCCTAACTTTCAATGGACTCAAAGCAAATTCCTATGAATGGATATCCCACATTGATTTCCAACGTCCAATACAGTATCATTTTTACACTTTCAGAGTTCCCAAGATGCAGTATTGTAATGTTGAAAAATTGAAAGAAAAAGAAAATTAACTTAGAAAATCAGTATGATATGGTGCAAAGTAAGATGTGACGTAAATGTCTGTAACCCTCTCTGAGCCTCAGCACCCACTCCAGCACTTCAATTTTACCCACCGGAATTGAAGCCCATGTGAATTGCTCAGGGTCACACCATGGTTTCCCAGCAACTAGCCCACTGGCTTTTTCCACGGTACCTGTACTTTTCAAATTTTGATTTTTTTAAGCTACATAATTATTCCTTTAAATGAAATCTTACTTGAAATTCACAGTGTGTTGAAAGGGCTTCTTTTTCAGTTGGATACATCACCATTCTCAATGTGTGGCCTCCAAGAGGATTGAAGAAAAGGCTAAGAGAGGAAAATTTTAGGTGAAAGTCTTTTTTCCTTTTTTTTTTTTTTTTTTAAAACATGAACTATGTTCCCTGGAGCCACATTATTATGATGGTTTTCGTGCTCTTGTACATTGGATGTCTTAAGCTGAGCGCAGTGTAGGGGATCCTTTCTAATTACAGGAAGGTACTTCTTCCCTTCAACGCTGTGATCTGATCTGTGACAAATCTGTACTATACATTATATAGTACATATACTATATATAGTATACATATACTATATATATATATATATATATATATATATATATACATAGTATATATAACAAGTCAACTGCAAACCAACTGAATGCACACATCGTCTTGCTGGTGCTGAAATCTATTCAAAATAGTCATCATGATCTCAGTTTGTTTCAGAATTTGCAAGCATCAAGTGTCAATCAAAACTGAAGATGAAACATTAATGAATGTTGAATTCTCATGTTTTAGGTGTACTTCCTTTTTAGATTTTTTGGTTTTCTGATAATTTTACCATACTCTTTCATTTAAATTTCTTACACACTAACTTTGTTTATGCAATTGAAATAAAATTGCAGTATACACACACACACACACACACACAAAATTTTGAACCAGGCCTGGAATTGAGTGTCACGTCCACCCACATCCATCTTCCTGCACTTTGTTGCATGGCCCTACCTATATTCAAAAGGGTTAGAAAAGGGGCTTCCCTGGTGGCGCACTTGTTGAGAGTCCACCTGCCGATGCCGGGTACACGGGTTTGTGCCCCGGTCCGGGAAGACCCCACATGCCGCGGAGCGGCTGGGTCCGTGAGCCATGGCCACTGAGCCTGCGTATCCGGAGCCTGTGCTCCGCAACGGGAGAGGCCACAACAGTGAGAGGCCCGCGTACCGCAAAGAAAAATAAATAAATAAAATAAAAAGGGTTAGAAAATATAGGCTTGAGTGAGGTCAGGAAGAAAATGAAATTGATTGATGCCACAGCAGTAGGCTTTCTCAGTCAGTCCCTTCTCATTTACAATTAGTTGAAGACAGGGAAGTTTCCCTTTATCTCCCAGTGCGATCCTTCTTTATCTTCCACAGCGCAAGAGTCCCACACCCACCTACCTAAGTGATCCAGAGTCTGCCTGCATTTTGCCATTCAAGTGCCCCTTGGGTGCTCTTTGAAAAAAATTTTTCTCTGTTTCTTTACAGGAGAGTTACAGTGAAGGAGTTAAACATTATGAGGCAGATGACTTTGAACTAGCTATCAAGTACTTTGAACAAGCTTTAAGAGAATATTTCAATGAAGATACGGAGTGCAGAGCCCTGTGTGAGGGGCCTCAGAGATTTGAGGAATATGAGTACTTAGGGTATAAAGCTGGTCTCTATGAAGCCATTGCAGGTAAAGTTTATTTTTTCCCTTGATTTCCTGATTATAGAAATACTACATGCCATCTGTAAAACTATTCCAATAATGTAGACGTATATATTGTAAAAAGTATAATTGTAAAAAAATTCTCATATACGTATCCCATCCTCTCTCACGTGGATTACTTTCCCTAGCTTAAATTTTGGTGACTATGCTTCCAAGCTTTTTCAGATACATACATAAATATTTAGGTATTTATTTATAATTATTATTTCATTTTTATAAAAATAAGGCAACACTGTAAATATTGATTTTCAGTATATGTTTTGTTTTTGTTTTATTTTATGCTTAACAATATATTGTGGACTTCTCATGTAAGTACATTTAGATCTACTTATTGCATTATATGGGGAAAGCATAATTTATTTGACCAGTCCTTTACTGATGAATACTAAGGAAGTTGCAGTTTTTTCTTACGATTAATAATGTAGTAGTGACTACCTTTGTATAGTCTTCTTCTATTACTTAAATGAATATATTGTTACATATGGGAATTTAATATACCACAATTTAAAATAGTAGGTAAAGTTCATTATACATTAATTGGGGAGGTTGACTAGTTAACCATGTATGGTGGGGACTGAGTTCTCTGCTGCATATGAAAAAACACACGAAATAAATACTATTATATTAATAATATGAGTAAAAATAGAACTGTTAGAAGAAAATGCAAGAGAATATTTGTATAACAGTAGGAAAGCTCTTCTTAGCATGATGAAAGACAAGAAATTTTAAGAAAAAGATAGATTTTACATAAGATTTATAAATATAAAAGATACTTTAATCAAATTGATTTATAATAGCAAGTGGAAAAAGTTGCAAAATGTTTACAGGAAAACAGTTAATATCATTAATACTTAAACACAGACTGTGAATTATTAGTAGTACTGGTAATTCATTTCTTATTTATTGGTAGTAATAAAAATAAGCAAAATTTGTTTAACAGTTAAAATATACAGAGCATTTTATATAGTTATATCTCTTTTAATACTATAAACAACTCCTTGTAGGTATTGTTATTCACTCTTTTCTCCCCTTTCAAATGAGGAATTTAGACCTCAGAAAGATTAAGTAATGGGATTAAGGTGAAACTGGGAATCAAACCTAGGATTTTCTCACTCTAGAGCCCATACTTTGAAGATCTACACAGTTGAAAAATGGGCAAAGATTATTTATTCAATAATAAATGTTTAACACATATTTGTTGAGTGCATATTGTATCCCAAGTTATAAAACATGAAAAACAATGTTCAACTTCTCATACACTCATAGAACTGCAAATTAATGAAGTCAGTTTTCTTTCCCCAATTTCCAATGTTTTCTGTCTTCATAAAAAGCATCATTCACCTAGTAGTTCAAACCAAATCCCTAGAAGTTATCTTTCAATCCAACATTTCCTTCAATTCTTGTTCACCTCCGACTTGTTACCAAACTTTGAAAGATGCTACTTCCTAATAGCATTTGAGATTTCCTGGTTCCCTCCACTCCTTTTGCTACCACCCTGGTTCAAATCAACACTATAGTTTAACTAATTCACTGTGATAGTCTCCTTGCTGGTCCGCATGTTCTGATCAGGTTTTAGTCTGTAGGCAGACAGAACAGTTTTCCAAAAAACAGAAAGTCTGCTCACAGATATGCTGAATCACCCCCTGCCACGCCACTGGCTTCCATTGCACTTGAAATAAAACCCAAAACCTTTAACAAGGACTTTCATGACTGCGTACTAGTGTTCATTTTCATCCTCTCTCTTTTTCTATCTCTTTAATCCATTCCTACTCTACTTATTTTAATTCCTAAGATACGCCAGGCTCATTTCCACTTACAGACTTGAAAATGTTGTCTTCTTTCACTTGGCTATTGCCCTATCTTGTTAAGTGCTTAATCCTAAGTGCCTACTTATAGTGACTGGCAAATAGCAGGTGCTTAGTGAATATCTGTTAAATGAATGGGTGGAAGGAAGAAAGGATGAGGGAAGGAAGGAAGGAAGGAGATGACATATCCATCTATCACGTTGCAGAGATTAAAAGGTTAATAATACTCTATATTTGTGAAAATATAGGTCTTAAAATGTTGAGTTTTTTACTTTGAATTTTATTTTATTTATTTTTTTATACAGCAGGTTCTTATTAGTTTTCCATTTTATACATATTAGTGTATATATGTAAATCTCAATCTCCCAATTCAACACACCACCACCCCACTATGCCACTTTCCCCCCTTGGTGCTCATAAGTTTGTTCTCTACATCTGTATCTCAATTTCTGCCCTGCAAACCAGTTCACCTGTACCATTTTTCTAGGTTCCACATATATGCGTTAATATACAACATTTGTTTTTCTCTTTCTGACTTACTTCACTCTGTATGACAGTCTCTAAATCTATCCACGTCTCCACAGATAAACTAATTTCGTTCCTTTTTATGGCTGTGTAATATTCCATTGTATATATGTACCACATCTTCTTTATTCATTTGTCTATTGATGGGCATTTAGGCTGCTTCCATGTCCTGGCTATTGTAAATAGTGCTACAATGAACATTGGGGTGCATGTGTCTTTTTGAATTATGGTTTTCTCTTGGTATATGCCCGGTAGTGAGATTGCTGGGTCATATGGTAATTTTATTTATAGTTTTTTAAGGAACCTCCATACTGTTCGCCAAAGTGGCTGTATCAATTTATATTCCCACCAACAGCGCAAAAGGGTTCCCTTTTCTCCACACCCTCTCCAGCATCTGTTGTTTGTAGATTTTCTGGTGATGCCCATTCTAACTGGTGTGAGGTGATACCTCATTGGAGTTTTGATTTGCATTTCTCTAATAATTAATGATGTTGAGCAACTTTTCCTGTGCTTCTTGGCCATCTGTATGTCTTCTTTGGAGAAATGTCTATTTAGGTCTTCTGCCCATTTTTGGATTGGGTTGTGTGTTTTTTTAATATTGAGCTACATGAGCTGTTTATATATTTTGGAGATTAATCCTTTATCCGTTGATTTGTTTGCAAATATTTTCTCCCATTCTGAGGGTTGTCTTTTCATCATGTTTGTAGTTTCCTTTGCTGAGCAAAAGCTTTTAAGTTTCATTAGGTCCCATTTGTTTATTTTTGTTTTTATTTCCATTACTCTAAGAAGTGGATCAAAAAAGATCTTGCTGTGATTTATGTCAAAGAATGTTCTTCCTATGTTTTCCTCTAAGAGTTTTATAGTGTCCAGTCTTACATTTAGGTCTCTAATCAATTTTGAGTTTATTTTTGTGAATGGTGTTAGGGAGTGTTTGAATTTCATTCTTTTACATGTAGCTGTCTAGTTTTCCCAGCACCACTTATTGAAGAGACTGTCTTTTCTCCATTGTATATCCTTCCCTCCTTTGTCATAGATTAGTTGACCATGGGTGTGTGGGTTTATCTCTGGGCTTTCTATCCTGTTCCATTGATCTGTATTTCTGTTTTTGTGCCAGTACCATATTGTCTTGATTACTGTAGCTTTGTAGTATAGTCTGAAGTCAGGGAGTCTGATTCTTCCAGCTCCGTTTTTTTCCCTCAAGACCACTTTGGCTATTCGGGGTCTTTTGTGTCTCCATACAAATTTTAAGATTTTTTGTTATAGTTCTGTAAAAAATGCCATTGGTAATTTGATAGTGATTATATTGAATCTGTAGATTGCTTTGGGTAGTATAGTCATCTTCACAATATTGATTCTCCAATCCAAGAACATGGTATATCTTTCCATCTGTTTGTATCATCTTTAATTTCTTTCATCAGTGTCTTATAGTTTCCTGCCTACAGGTCTTTTGTCTCCCTAGGTAGGTTTATTCCTAGGTATTTTATTCTTTTGGTTGCAGTGGGAAATGGGAGTGTTTCCTTAATTTCTCGTTCAGATTTTTCATCATTAGTGTATAGGAATGCAAGAGATTTCTGTGCATTAATTTTGTATCCTGCAACATTGCCAAATTCATTGATTAGCTCTATTAGTTTTCTGGTGGCATCTTTAGGATTCTCTATGTATAGTATCATGTCATCTGCAGGCAGTGACAGTTTTACTTCTTCTTTTCCAATTTGTATTCAGTTTATTTCTTTTTCTTCTCTGATTGCCGTGGCTAGGACTTCCAAAACTATGTTGAGTAATAGTGGTGAGAGCGGACATCCTTGTCTTGTTCCTGATCTTAGAGGAAATGCTTTTAGTTTTTCACCATTTAGAATGACATTTGCTGTGGATCTGTCATATATGACCTTTATTATGTTGAGGTAGGTTCCCTGGATGTCCACTTTCTGGAGAGTTTTTATCATAAATGGGTGTTGAATATTGTCAAAAGCTTTTTCTGCCTCTATTGAGATGATTGTATGTTTTTTCTTCTTCAATTTGTTAATATGGTGTATCACATCGATTGATTTGCATATACTAAAGAATCCTTGCATCCCTGGGATAAATCCCATTTGATCATGGTGTATGATGCTTTTAATGTGCTGTTGGATTCTGTTTGATAGTATTTTGTTGAGGATTTTTGCATCTATATTCATCAGTGATATTGGTCTATAATTTTCTTTTTTTGTAGTATCTTTGCCTGGTTTTGGTATCAGGGTGATGGTGGCCTCATAGAATGTGATTGGGAGTGCTCCTTCCTCTGCAATTTTTTGGAAGAGTTTGAGAAGCATGGGTGTTAGCTCTTCTCTAAATGTTTGATAGAATTCTGGTCCTGGACTTTTGTTTGTTGGAAGATTTTTGATCACAGTTTCAATTTCATTACTTGTGATTGTTCAGTTCATATTTTCTATTTCTTCCTGGTTCAGTCTTGGAAGGTTATACCTTTCTAAGAATTTGTCCATTTCTTCCAGGTTGTCCATTTTATTGGCATAGTTACTTGTAGTAGTCTCTTAGGATGCTTTGTATTTCTGCGGTGTCTGTTGTAACTTCTCCTCTTTCATTTCAATTTTATTGATTTCAGTTCTCTCCCTACTTTTCTTGATGAGTGGCTAGTGGTTT